AGCCCTGTGTGTGTGTGTGTGTGTGTGTGTGTGTGTGTGTGTGTGTGTGTGTGTGTGTGTGTGTGTGTGTGTGTGTTTGTGGTCCAGAGTTTACACAGAGTTTAAAGTGGTCTCCAGATTATTTAATAACAAATTACATCACGTCAGTCTGTGGAGACTAGAGGCGAGGTCCTAGTGAAAGACACTCTCCAGCTGCATGATGGGAAATGTAGGACAAGAGGTTTCAGTGTTGTCAGAAATTACAATAATAAAGAAAAATAAATGAAAAGCACTTACGTGTGCAGGCACTGTGCGGCGGGTCCGAGTCGGCTCGATAGAAACCAGAGTGACATGGGCAGTAGGCGGAGCCTGGGATTCTTGTGTTGCTATTGGCTGGACAGGAGCTGCAGCCAACAGGTCCTGACTCGGCTTTAAAATGACCGGACGGACAGGCTGGAGACAAAGGCTTAGAATTAGCATTCACCTCTAAAAGCGCACACACATATGGGACTGTCCACCTTCACCATCAGCCTGAACCCACATGTGCACACACATCAGATCTCCAGAAGCGCTACAAAAACCGCACTTCCTCTATTGTCCACTAGGGGCTCCAGCAGCGTGCCAGTGCTCATAGACTTCCATGTTAAAATTTCAACTCTACAGCATGTTTACAACCTGATATAAAAAATAACAAGATTCAGTTACACACAGAGCGACGTGTTGTGGTTTATGAGTCAGGCCTATATCAACAATAGACCAGGTATAATCATAGAGTGCAGGGAACAGCAGGGTGTTTAAGTAAAAAGAACATGATTACACGTGTATAATAAGCCTCTGAAGGTATGACCTGAAGCGTTTTACATCCAAACAACTGTTTTCTGAATGCAGTAAAAAGCTCAGATAAATGTGCGTTACAGAAACCAGAGCTGACATCAGAGTGTTTTCTCACAGGTGGTGGGGTTCCACAGGGCTCTGTTATTGGTCCTCTACTTTTTAATTAAGTTTCATTTAATTCTGCTTGTAAATGCACTGGATGTTTATTGCTTCATCTATGGGGGGGTCTACTCTTTTTGTACCGCACCTGTTTAAACTGGTTAGGCTTAAAAAAGGATTAAAGTTTAAATTATTAGCGATATGGCAGGCAGCCTGAACTGGACCTCTGGATTGTATTTGTGCTGTTGGAGCCTTTTGGAGCATTTCTAATACAATTATCTGACCAATAATAAACTGCTGTGAGGTTAATTGGACTAAAAGACAGCTGGGCTCCATTTTTGTGTGAAATTCCAGAATTTTATTTGGACGTGACAGCAGCCAAAACGCGAATATTATATGAACATTATTTTGAAGCTATAAAATGTAGTCACACTGCTTTGCAGTTGCATTTATAAAGATCTTTTAGTAATAATTAGTTCTACAAACCGTAAAAACATTGAATGTGACCTGTTGTCTGAACACAACCAGTTTGAGTCAGTCAGAGAAGATTTGAGCTGTTGTATTGTTAGTCAGAGCTCACACAGGCTGCTGCCTCCTGGCCTCAGGCTCTAAAAAGACGAGGCTTCAGAACAATGGGACTAAAACCAACAATGAAGGTATCAGGCGTGCCAGCGAGTCCCAACTAAAGCAAATGTTCCACTCAAACATGACAGTGAACCTCGAAGCAGTAAAAGCAGCTCAGTGTGTCCAGAAACAGCTCAAACCCGTCAGTGGTCGTCCCCGAAAGAGATCAAACAGTCCCAAAGAAACACACCCGCCTCTCCTGCTCATGCACACTCCAGCAAACAGATGTTTATGAACATCTGGAGCCTTTTATTAGAAATGAAACATGTTTGTGACGTAGAGGTCGATTTCTGTCAC